AGCTTTAAAAAGGAGGTGACATGGTCACAACTACATTTTGAAAGACTCGCACTGGTAGAAGCTAGAGATAGGACTGGAGAAGAGCCAGAATGGCTATGGATCTGCTTTACCAGTGTAAAGTTTCCAGGGAAATCTTGAGTCAGAAGATGACCCTTAGGGAACTTTCCAGTAGCATCTCTTGATCCTAAAGCATCTCCTGGTAAGTGCTCACTGTGTGATCTAGGGAAAGAGTTAAGCATACCAGGAAAATAGAGTTCTCCTATGCTTGTAGAAAAAGGAATGCATGTAGGGTGGGGCTTTTGTTTGAGCTGATGTCTCTAGGATATACTATGGATGGTGTGTGTGCACATGCAGGAGTGTGTGCAAAGATGAGAAGAAAGGATCTGTGTCTCTTTGTTTTCCCCCCGGCCAGCCTCACCAGCGCCTGGTGCATGAGGGCATGGAGCACGTGCACCTCCTCACCCCCACGGCAGCCACCTCTGGTAATGGCATCTGGCCCGTATGCAGATCTAGCTCAACTCCTTGCTGACATCAGCCGGTTTGTGGCACCTCAGCGTATTTCTGGGTTGCAAATGAGAGTTTCTTAGTGCCAGGCTCACTTGGGCTGTCACATCAGGTGATGAATTCTCTGCATCAACAGCGTGCTGCTAAGGTAGGCACAGCGGAAATGCATGAAGAAGAAGAAGAGATGGGACAGGCTTTTCTCGGCTCAGCAGTCAGAGCTCTGGTTTAAAGGCACTGCCGTCTCTGCAGCAGCTAGGGAGACGCAACTGCAGGAGGCGCTGTTCTGGTGGAAGGAGGGTAACAAAGAAGAGAGAAGATAGAGACCTCGGTTGCAGTAATTCTCTTAGTTTTTTGAGACAAGGTCTTGCTGTGAAGTTCAGGCTGGTTTTGCACTCACTGCATAGCCCAGGCTGGCCTCACACTTGTGATCCAGCTGCTCAGTCTGCCATTGTTGGGACTACAAGCGTGCACCACCATGCCAGCCTCAACCACAGTTCCCCACTTTGTGTTTTGTCAGGAGAAACCATGCAGGCTGTCCTGAGCTGTCCAGGTATGCTTTGCCTTGTCCCTTAGATGGACTTCTTGCAACGTTTGGTATATAGCAAATTATGTGCCGGATTCCTTAGAGGAGGCTATACAAATGGTCATTTTTGCTCTGAAATATTTTGTTTCCAACTATCTTCAATGTGAGTTTTGAAAAGTCAGGTTTTCTTATCCTGAAAGGTGCTACACGCCGTCTTTGTACCTCCTTTCATGAGGCTCCAGGTGGAGTGGGCTCTTCTGGCTTTAGGCTTCATCTGTCAGAATTAAAGTTAGCTGAGTCTTGCTTGCGCTGGGGGCCAAACTACATGTAAGACTGGGTGTAGCCTCTCTTCCGTTAATTTCAAAGGTCAGGAGAACACTGGGTTTTGCAGATTCTACCTCCCCGCCCCGGGACCCGTCAGGGTGGTTTCTGACTTTAGCATTTTGAAGACTATGCCAAGCCCACAGGGTGGCTTGCATCAGAGAATGAAGGGAAAAGTGTTGGGTGCAGAAGAAAAAGAAAAGTCTTACTTCCTGCCACCCCTGAACAGTTGTTAATGAGAGCATGCTCTTCTCTCTCACTGTGCTCAGAGATAAATAAATGCACAAAGGTGGAGCTTCCTACTTAATATTCACCCGCAGTGGAGGAAGAGGGAAGGAATTGGTCCCCAGGGCTACCATGGCAGTAAGCGAGGTCAGCTGTTTCCCAAGATGGTGCAGCCTCTGAATGCCTTACATTAAAGCGGGAATGATCCAGCTGAAGCAGCCAGAATGACTTACAGGAAACCGAGAAATGTGGTTTGCTCGCACTTTCTGAGCTCCTGCTGGCCTTAGCAGCAGTGGCAGCCAGCAGGACAGGCAGTATAGAGCACCTCCAGAAGAAAGAGCCCTTCCACGTTTCTGGTTCTACACAGCACTTGTGTTTGTCTAACTTGGACTCCCTAGGCTGCAGTGACCTCAATTTGGCAACAAGTAGGGTGTCATGTTTGGGATATCCTGGGGAAGGGTGGCCCATATAACCCTTTTTGTGCTCAGATTGCAGGAATATAGGGCTCTCAATGCCAAGTACACGAGTGACATGCAGTCTGAGGAGGGCATGCATGCCCAAATACACGTCTCTGTGTTTACGAGTGGCAGAGGGGTGGAAGAAAGCTGTAGAGGTTCATTGTGTGTATTTGTTTTGGTTGATCTATATTATCCTCTATATATTTTCTTCACCAGGCATACTTAAAATGTTAGCTCGAATGGCTGGTGAAATTTCCTGTCTCTGCTCTCTGTGAGTTCTCTGGCATCTTGTGCACTGGCCTGAGAAAAAAGAACTTTTAGGAATAGTTCACACGTCTGCTGTTTGAGTTATTTCAGCCCAGAGATAACTCAGAAAGAAGTCCCAGAACCTTCTGGGCGATAAGGAATGCCCACTCCTTTCTAATCAAGCAAAGCAGAGTTCATTTTTTTCTTTTTACTAATGACTTTGCTGGGGGCACAAATTATTATTATTTTAGTGGAATTAAAAAGTAGTTACTCCTGGTAACTTGTGACCAATGTAACGACATGTGCCATGACATTAACACTAAGCTCTTTTAATAAGGCTTTCTTGTCTGCTTGTCTCATGCGGGTGGATCCTAAAACACACGACTTTTTCTTTTTCTTTTAGTAGTAATTTACTCTGCTTCATGAATTTATACTCAAAGAATTTTTGTCAAGTTTCCCTAAAATTCTATAATGTTCAATAAGCCTATACACCAATACCAATTCACACCCCCTATACACCCTACCCGTATCTATCTATCTATCTACCTATCTATCTATCTATCTATCTATCCATATAACTATCTGGTAATCATACACATATAAAGGGATTATTGAGATAGACATCAAAATACTAACAGTAATTATCTCTGAGTAGCAAAATTACAGGTGTTGAATATTTCCTTCTTTATGCTTTTCTGTTTTCAAAATATTATATAGTCATATCTTTTCACAAAAAAATAATACCCTGAAAATTTTTCTGTGGCTAAAAAATAAGTATAACCACTGTTCTCAGCCAACTTAAAATGGCACCAGAATATACATATCTGTGGATGGGGGAGAGGTGAAAATATAATCTCTCCATGATAGACCAGCATTATGAATTTGAAATAATTCTGTTCTTGATTTGAATCACACTGCAGAGCCTTGACTCCAAGATGAAAAAGCTTTCTGTTGTGAAAGAAGTAGTTCTCATTGTCCCCTCATTATCCTCTGTTGACTGTCCTATCATGGATGACAGGGAGGTGTCTTCCAACTGGGGAGTTGGGAGTAGGTAGAGGAGCAACTGTCAGGGTTAGGAGATGGGACACTGGAGTTTGAGAGCAGTTGTATATGGACCTGTGGCACAGGAGACATGTTCTTGGCCTTGCCCAGGATGACTGCTTGTGTCCTGGAACCCATAAGGATGATGACAAAATCAACCCTCCTGCTAAAGTGACTGGTGGAAGCCACTTTGAACTAAAAGCCTGGCTTTCCTGGGGAGTTGAAGCATCATTTGGGTAAGCCAATGAAAAAGAAAACCAAGTGGGTGAAAGGAGCAGAGAAAGCGGAGCCAGATCTACAGATCAGAAGGCTCATGATCTGTCTCAGTCGTGGAACAGGAAGGATGATTTTCTCTTACACCTCTGCTTGTCCAAGAATGAAATATGAAAAGATATTTGTTAATCTCTCTTAAGTGCTCCTTCCCTACATACTATGGATTATGCCAGAGTAGATGTGGTGTTCCTTCCCAAGTGACAATAATGGTTCCTGCCCTCTCCAAATTTTTCAAAAAACAAAACAAAAGTATAATAGAAAATATATTTACCAGGAATATGTAAGACATGCTCTGTTTGATATTAGTATTTCCAGAGTTGAAGTATATTCATTCTAAAGAACACAGTGATTGGTGGGCAAAGGCGTTTTAGAGTAATTATATTTATTTCCTTAAAACATATGCACAGTTATAAATTGTGCACCATGAATTAACTACTATACCAAATCTTTCTTCAACTATTTTCATTCTGGGATGGTCTTTGAAAGCCTTGGTCACTAAATAAATCCTTCAAGAACAATTCCATTGTTGTGGCTGCTTCTACATCTAGAGGCTTAGAAAAATGACCTCTGAAGGTCTATCGAGCTTGTAGTTTCCCATCTTGCTGCCTCTCCAACACATTCACAAAGACCAGTCCTACAACCTTGGCCATCCCATTTTACCTGTCCAGTTCCCCAGAATCACCCTCTGTTTCTCAAGGCTTACTTGGGCAAGTATCTCCTGCACAAGGTCCAGAAGTTCCTGCTCCAATGGTTATGGTATCACCAGCGTTCACTTGAACCTTCCTAATATTTGTACTTTGCTGGTTGTTACGTTCTGCTTTGAGTTATAGTTTATTCATGGGCTTGCGTGACCCCCTTCCTTGCCTTACCTCACTCATCATTATATATGTAAGAGCTTTTAGTCCACAACTTTATATAGAACAGGGACTTGGAATCGTGTAAACCTAGAATACTCAAAGCTGGAAAGGACCTCAGAAAACATTTGGGCCAACTTTCTTGTTTTTCTAAATAAGGAGACCAAGGCCAAAGAGCTGAAGGTGCTTCCCTATTGTCAACAGCTGCCTGTTACCAACAAGCGTCAGAGTAAGAACCAAACAACAACCACCACCACTCAGGTCTCTTCACTTTGGAGATAGCATCATTCCCCGAGTGGCTGAGACTGAGTCAAGAAGTCTTCAAGACGTTCACACGTATCACACACATGGGAGAACCAGCCTTGTGCTCAGAGGCTTACCGGGAGAATGTGAGCCACTCATGGGCAGGGGGAACAGTATCACCAACAGCAATGAGTGTCCCATTGGGCCACACACTGTGCTAGGTCCTTTACACAAGTTGCCTCATTGTCATTGTCTGCTCAAAACAACAACCCAATCGCAGAGAACTGACTTCTCTCCCTTTTTCCCTTCTAGGCTAATGGAGGTTGGCAGGATGCTACTACCCCTTCATCAGTGACCTCCCCTACAGAAGGCCCTGGCAGTGTTCACTCTGATACCTCCAACTGATCTCCCAGCAATCGCATCCCGGCTGACCCTGTGCCCCAGTTGGGGCAGGGGCAGGAGGGAGGGTTTCTCTCCCAACGCTGAAGCGGTCAGACTGGAGGTCGAAGCAATCAGCAAACACAATAAGAGTCTCCTTCTCTTCTCTTCTTTGGGATGCTATTTCAGCCAATCTGGACACTTCTTTATACTCTCTTCCCTTTTTTTCTGGGTAGAAGCCACCCTCCCCTGCCTCCAGCTCTCAGCCTGGTTTCCATCGTCTTCCCTGCCTGCTCTCCTCTGTTCTAGCCTCCCGGGGTCCCTGCCCTCCATCACATCACTGAAGGATATTTTCAACAATTAGAGGAATTTAAAGAGGAAAAAAAAATTACGAAGAAAATAATAAAAGTGTTTGTATGTTTTCGTGCTGGTGGTTTGAGGAGCCAAATTTGCCTCCCTTGGATCCTTCTCTCCCGATGTTAACAGGCAGCCCTTCTCTGTTTCTCTTGTTACTCTCACTACCTCTTAGAAGGAATGCACCACATTGCCCTCCTCATCCCAGGCCCCCTGTCTCCTCTTGCTCCTCCTCCCTGGGGACAATCCTGATTGGAACTCCAGGCTCTTTCTTCCCAGTCCCAGGTACTCGCTGAGGACTGCCACAGGTGGGCGTCTCCGAGTGCCCCACTTTCCAATCTCATTTCAACTAAATGGATTACCAGGCAGGGAGTCAGACAGCAGGGGAGGGGAGGAGGAATAGGAAAGGCAAAATTCCTGCAGCCTTTTTCTGCCCCCTCACAACAGCTCCCGGTGTCAGAGGCACAGTCTTTGGAAACCATTCCACACCTAGGAAGCAATGTTACAGCCCAACTACCAAGCAGGCCTCAGCGAGGCCTAGTGATGAAGGCATCAGTGAGGAGTAGAAGGTTCTGACCCTGAAACCCTCCACTGCCCGTCATGCCTGTGCACACACATGGGGATACATGCACACTCTCACACCTTTACTACTCTGCCAAGATGCCATGTGCAAACACATACATTTGCAATCATAGCATTCTCTCTGGCGAGTTTAAGAGAGGGAATTAGCAACTCCAAGTGACAGTCACTGGCACGCAGAAGCAATACGTGCCTGGGGCTTTAGGACCAGCAAGCCAAGCAGCACACATTGACCAGTGTAACATGCACAGGACTTTTTTCTAATGACGGTCACGTTTCCACGGTCACCTACTCCTGTTCTTACCACTTTTGGAGCTCTCAGGGAGCCACACACAGTACTTAAAAATGTCTGTGATGGATTTGCTTGTTTTGTTTCTGTTTTTCTATAAGGAATATTGTATTAATTATCTGAAGCATTATTCTACATCAAGTTCCTGATCCTGGCCTCTTCCTAGGGAGGAGAGAGTGGCATCCGAATACGGTTCAAGCCAATGTTTTGCTAGCTTAATTTGATGACAGGAGAGGCATGGGGAAGGGGTGATCATGTCTTCATCAAAATCCTCACATTGATTTGTATTCCCTGATTTTCTAAGAGAAAATAGTGTATGCTGGAAAGTTATTCTCTGATGTCACCTGAGCTTACCTTCTTCATTGCCAATTCTGCCAGCCACAGGGGTGGTGGCTCTGTTACTTGATTAAGTAGGAGGTGGTAAAATCTTCTGGTGCCCAATTTTCTTCATCTGTAAAATGGGAATTAGTCTGTGTGGCTCACCAAGAGGCATGTGAGAGACTGAATAACTTGAATTTGTTCATCACTAATCTTAACGTGGAAGTTAGGGAAGGCAACATCCCTGAGAAACTGGTTTGTGCTCTGTCAGGAAAATGAATTGTTTTCTTGTTCTAACTTCCGGTGCCATCTATACCCCAATGTCATTGCCATGATGACAGAGTTGATTTTTAGGTTTGGGGTGGGTGTTTGTTTAGTTTTAGCCTGTTTGGTTTCTTAGGATGGAAGAAAGCTTCCCAGCTAGAACAGTAGAACCTGGTTCTGCCTGTACTTGAATCCAGTAGGTAGGCTTAAAAGCAGTTGGTCAGCCCCTGTCACACCCACTCAATGCCCCCAGAGAGGGTTAGGAGACCCTGAGGGGTAAGGATGGCCAGACAGCAAGGTTGTGAAAGTCTACATATTACTATAGTAATGACCACTCTTCCTCTGTGTGTGTTTGGAGAAGATGGGGAAGCTACCTAACAAAAAAGGATTTGTGTATTTGAAGAAAACACAAAGAGTAAATACTAGGAAAAGTGCAGTTATGCCTAGGTGACCAAGGACAACAGAAAGACTTTGTCTACTAACCCATGCTCTACAGGAACAGAGCTGGATAAATAGGAAGCCTAGAAGGCACATCTCTGTGGCAACTCTATAGTGATGAGAACCACGGAGAAGCTGGTCTTAGAGGCAGGAATATATGGGAACTAAGCATACAGGAAAACATTTGGATCACATCATATGAAAGGGTGAAGAATGTAAAAGATGTAGAAAGTTTCTCTTGGAAACAAGAAAAATGACTTCCACCCTGGATTGAAAGATTGCAACATTAAATTAGTGAAAGAGATCAGAGCAGTGCTACCTTTGCACAGGTAATTTCTCCTCCAGCGGCAATTTGCACTGGTAGTCACCTCGCACAGCATTTTCCCCACCCAGCACTTTACTAGATCCCCTTTACATCCAACACCATTCTCGTAGCCTCCTCTCCAAGCCTACAGTCACATCTAACATGGCGGCCACAGATCTCTCCAGTTTACTTGGAGCTACCAGTGGCAGCTGAAGGGTGGAGCAGGAAGAGCATGCCTCTGGAAACAGCCCCCGGAAACCGGTAGCAGTTCAATCCTACAAGACACCAAAATGTGCCCAGGGATTGCTTCATTTTCTAATGAAAATGAGAGTGCTCCCTTTTTTGTGACACAGTTTTCCCCAGAAATAATAGATGTTGGGTTTGCCCACCTGTGACTCTTCACTGTACCCTTCTCTCCATCCCCAACTCCTCCCTCTGGCAGGGAATTGACTCCAAGGCAGTACTTTGGCCAAGTGGCACTTTCTTTCGATTTATTTTTTATTTTGCGGTGATGGTTGTTCTTTATTTGCTGGTTGCCTTTTCTCACACTTTTTCCCCCCACTTTCCTTCTGCTCTTTATTTTTCTGCCCAGAAAAACCTGACTTCGATACCAAAAAAGATGAAACTACAGAAACTCAAATTTAAAAAAAAAACTAAAAAAAAAAAAACAAAAAAATACTCAACGATTCTTTCAGCTTTATTAACATTTTCCATTGTTTCTTGCGACTTGTGTCTTGTTCTTTGTAGTATTGATGATGAACATTTGAAAATGAATGTTCTTGTATATTCAGATTAAAAAAAACCAAAAAAGCGGTCTGAATTTAATAGTGTTTATAATAAAAATTTTAAAAATGACCCTCATAGCACGCAAAATAAGATGGGGATTTCCCCTTCTTTCTGTGACAATACGCATCATTCCTGTATTAGTTTTTAATACCAAACTACCTACATTCATCATTTCCCCCATTTTTCTTTTATTTTCTTGCATTTGTGAATTAGTTCAAGAATGCTAGAAAAGTGTCGAGTTGTGCACATTCATTTCTTGTTTCACAATGTTTAAAAGTGACAGTAACTCATTTTGTAAACTAAAGAAAAAAAAAGGTTGGAATAGTGAGCATAATAGGTACAGCCTAACACATTATTATGTTTATTAACGTTGAGACCCAGAAATAAATTCTTTTCTTTATTCCTGCTCTTAAAAATACAAAAAAAAAAAAACTTTTTTTTGTTTTGTGTTATTTTTGGTTTGTTTATGGGGGGGCTTTTTTAATTGTCAGGATTATGATCTTGCTATTTTGTTCATTAAATATGTATACAAGGTGATGTGAAAAGATGACATTGGTAGATAGAGTAGGCTGTTTCCTTGTTCTTCTTTGCTGCAGAATTCAGCTGATGTCAAAAACAAAATCAAAGCCCACATTGATGTCTCATTGCTGACCTTCATTTCCAGGATGTGTGGCACTTCTGTAGTCCCTGAGAAAAATAGCGTGGGACTTGTTTTCCCTTTTGGCTCTTTAAAAATTCAAGGAATTATCCGAGATATCTTTTTGTACTGTAGGAAGCAGGTTTTGCCTTTGTTGATTCTGAATATCACAATAAAATGCTTTCTTTCCCCCTGATTAATAACAACATTCCATGAGACCTTTTCCAAGAGGTGTTTTCTCCCAAAAGAATCCACAGAAGATACAGCCTCAGTAGACACCATGGACTTTAATAGAGTAAATCCAGGAAGCAGACCCTTGGGCCTGTCTTCCTGCTGATCCTGTGTCCTGACTTTGGATGAAGAGGTGGTAAGATAATGAACCAGACTCGATGCTGTAGTTCCAATGCTAAAAAGTTAAGCATGGATAACTGGCAGTACGTGTCTTATTAACCTCTCATCTAGAAGCCTTCTTAAAGCAAACTGCAAAGCCAGATTGGTTCGGAATGTTTTTATTAGTTATAGGAAAAAAGAAAGCAATATTATCTGGAAGAAACTTAGTTTTAGACATGTCTCAAGCAAGAAACATGAAAGAAATGCAGAATTTGGAGCAACTCTTTAGGAAGCATCTCCACACAAATACATGGCACTCTTAAAAAAAAAATAATGACAAGCTTTTCACATCACCTTTATGGTTTCAATCCCTAGCTCAAAGCTTTCTGGAAAATTATTATCTTTTTTTTTTTTGGTAAACATTTTTCCTTTGTTAAAAGAAAATGTCCCCACCCTACCCCCTTCTCTTTTTTTGCTTCTTTTCTTTCCTTTGGTGTTTTTATTTTGAAGTGCTTTCCTTTGGCTGTTGGTTTTATCTCCCACCTTTCTCCCTCTCCCCTTTTCTTGTTATTCAGAGTATAAACCTGCAAAGCTCTGCTCTGTTTTGGTTTTGGAAATTTAAGCTTTTCTGCTTCTGTGAGAGCACAGGCTTCTGTCCCTTTTGATTCCAACTTGAACTTTTGTGTTCTCTAATGATACTAACACGGTGTAGGTTTTACAGTCTCCTAATTTGTACTGGTAATGCATATTCCAAATAAATAGTTTCTTTTGTTGCAAAAAAGTATATATATTTGTATTTTGTCTAAATTTATTCTCTTATATGCTGGCAACTTCTCTTCTCCACAAAAAAAAGACCTCACTTAGTGTGGATTATGGTTGATTGCCCTAATCAACAGTTTTAAGATCTATGTACCATGGCAGTGAGGCAAAGATCTCATGGACCACCTACCTAATGAAAGAAGGAAGGAGTTACTTATGGGCAAACATAAGCTGTACTCCAGGAAGGCAGAGCATCGTCTTTGTCTGTGACAGCAAACCCTAAGTATTTAAGTCTTTCCCTAGTGGTTCTCCTTTCCTTTTGTTCGCTTGCAGTGATCTGGCCATAAGAAAATCTGTGGTCCCCAAGAGATGGTTCAGGAAAAGGAATCTAGGTTACAAATAACATTCATTTGTATGTTCTCAGAAATATATTCTACCTGCCACTCCAATAGATCTGGCGTACACCTGTTTTTGGGTATGTGTAGTATCCTGTAGCAGCATCTCTCCCAAGTTTGTCTGCACTCCCATTGAGCCCTTGACTTTTGAGGTTACAGGATTGATGTTTCACCTTCCATGCCAAAGTCTATACCTCAGCATGTAATGTCAAGTTCCCATCCATGGGACTTGCTGTGTGGCGGCTGACAGGTTCTGCTTCTAAAGCCATTGTTGTCCCTCTAAATGAGCATTGCTTTCTCATTCTTCTAGGAGAAGGGAGAGCCCCTCTGAATTTAAAATTGAGCTACCAATCACTTGGGCCCTTATCCCTATCACAATTCTAATCCATAGAAACTAGAAGAAAGAAGTGAGAAGCCAACTGGGGACCAAATAATCATTAATGGACAAGCTAAGTGTCTAGTGACCTGTAAACTTTAAAAAAAGCTGTCTGCTAATGATTTAGCACTCTTCAAATCTAAATATCGGTACGCATTTAAGGATGCAAAGTGGGCTCGAGCAACTCCCTTTTCTAATTGCTTGGAGAATCGTGGTCCTATCTTGCCCATCTAGTACATTACTGAGAGTGGAACTAAACTGTTGGGAACTAAACTAAAATGCACAATGCCTCAAATGTAACACATTTATGTCTCAGCCTCAGACAAATGTTTTTATTCAAGGTGCCTCTTCTCCACACAGTGACTCAGGGAGCCAGTCCTTCCCTTTCGTGACTCATCCATGTAGGAATATGTGGACCTCTTCACTGAGGCTCCAGAAAGGAAAGAGTTTGAAGAGAGCTCACCCACTTCTTGAAAACCTTCACCAGGACTTCTCTTTCACTCTTTCTTAAATATAATTGCTAGGGGTTTGCTTGGGGACCTGGGAAGGTAGTTACTAGCTAGGCAACCACTTTGTGGGGATAACACTAAGCAGTAGCGTTTGGATAGCTTGCCTAATGGCCTACAAGATAAGAGAGAGCCAAAAGCAAGGAATTTACAGTTGTCTAATTGACTGGACATGCTCCAAGTGAAAACTTTTCTAGTCATCACCCCAGACATAGCTTCTTTACTCTTCCCAAGGAAGTATCAGAAAGGAATATCATGGGGATCAGAGATACTCACTCCGTCATTGCCCCCTCAGGGAGAAGAAACACGTGCATTGTCCATGGAAATGTGAGGAGGGAAGAAAAACAACCCATCTTCTCCAACATCCTCCAATTGTTTTCTAAACTCGGGCCTTAGCACCAAACCTGTTGTCAGAGTGGAGAGCTATGATATGTTCAGACAGCCTTCTTTCCCCCTTCTAGAGGTCACATCCCCGTGTTTATATAGCTGGCTCACAGCATTGAGTCAGGCGGCCAGCAGTCATCCTCTTAGAAAATAGATGATGGACTTTCTAAGTCTTTAGCTGCAGTGGTAGCTGCCTCATTGTCCTGACTAGACTCAACACATTCACCTTCCATGGCCATTTTGACTTCAAGAAAGAGTCAGAAGTCACACAATGCCAGGTCTGAAGAATAAGGTGGATGAGAACACACTGTAATGTTTTTACAAGACTCCTTTTCAGTTGGATGGCACTTGGTAGCAACATTCACCATATTTTTTTTAACCACATCTCATACAGATAGTCATGAAAGAGAACTTCTAGAACTGCTTCAGAAAGTGGCAACATCAATGGAGTTAAGTGTTGAAGGTATTTTTAAGGGGGATCCGTGGCAATGTGTTTTTGAGTGTAATAATTTTAAAAAAAAAAATATTAAACACTCATACAGTACCCTGTTTTCCTCACACCATGTAGGTTGTATCTTAGTTCTTTGGGGTGCTGTGGCAAAATGTCTGATACTATGTAATTTG